ATGCACAAAAAACTGTTAAGAAAAATATGAATGGGGATGGAAGAAGTTTAATGTATGGGTGCCACACGAGTTAAGGTAAAAAAGCTTCAATTTTTTGCACTAACCCATATCTGAAGCGATTGGTGACTGATTGGTTGGTGATGAAAAGTGGCGGCTGATCACTTATGACAACGTCGAGCGGAAACGGTTATGGTTGAATAGCTCAACAATTGAATCAACTACAGGAAGCATTAGCCCAGAAACGTCCAGCTAGGGGAAGTTCTTATGCCTCTATCTTAAAGTACAGACCTGGCACCAAGTAATTACCATATGTTCCGGTAATGGCGAACGGTTTTATTGGTGAAAAATTTGCCGCAAGAAAAGCTTGTGAAAATCGGCTGTATCAATTTTTTGCGATAAGGGACAAGGACTTTTATAAGGAATTCATAATGAAAAAATTATCTTTATTATGTCTCCATAATGCCACTTTGTAACCAAAAAAAAAAATAAGAAACTGCCCAACGGTCTTCCAAATTTTAGGCAGTTTTTGTTATTTTAAGGCTTATAGGTATTATATTTTCGTACTATCGAAATTATAACTAAGAGAGAAACGAAAAAACATATATAGGTATATATATATACAACTTTCAAATAAAACTCAATTATTATTATTATGGTTAATAACAATGATGTACAGATTATATGAAACTTATAAATTTTGCATCTTTATGTATCGTAAAATTAGTTCAAATATTTTAAATGTGTATATTAGCGTTATTGACGGCGATAACATAGAAGTATGAACAAAAAAATATATTAATACTATTAGAAAATGTTGAATATTTGCATTTCAAATATTATATATTAAAAGTGAATTTATTTCTTAATATCTGTAAACACCTTTAAGACAAATTTTTATTGAATTTATCAATCATTAAAGAGCTCACTTCACACTTTTGGAGTATAATTCAATTTTCAAAAATTTCCGGTTCTAACCGTGAAAGGTTATTAATATTAGCCAATCCGATATGACAACAGAGTGCGTACCTAACATATTTAAAAATAATGGAACACATTTGAATGTTCGTGGACACTGAGCTGTTGACATGTAAGCCATCCATCTTCCTGCTGTCACTCAAAATTCCTAAGAAGGACAAAAATTTGTTTGCTCCTTTTTTACAATAATTTTTTCCTTGTAAAATGTCCATTTAAACAAAGTGTGATTGCGTGTTATGGCTTAAAGATGAAGTGGTGAATGGAATAACAAACAAAAAAAAAAAAAAAAAATTAAATTGTTAAAGTGATAAGTTATAAAAAGACAATAATAATCAAATTGTTAACTTAGGTTACAATAAATAATAAAATTTGCAAATATTTCCTTTTGAGTGTTCAATGAAAACAAATAAATACAATATCCATGTACCATATCCAAATAATTTAATCAAATTCTTCAGTACATAAAACGCACATCCTCTTGCTCAATAAATTGTCCTTCTAGTCCATTTTTAATAGCAGAAATGCACATTAATTAAGTATATAAATCATTTACACTATTAATAAAATCTTCGAAAAAGAGAAGAAAACCTGGTTTCAGCAGTAGTCTGCCACTTTATATGTTCATTATGAAGCTTAGCATGTTCTATAATTAATAATTAAATAAAATGTTAAATACATCAAGTTGTTGGGGTTAACTTCACCCCACCTTAAATTTCTTAATACGCTATATACCTGTTAATATTGGATCCGTAGTGTCACAATACCCCATTCTGTGTGCTTCATTGAGCTTTGGCGCACAAGGCTGCCATCAACCCGTAGAGTGAAAAAATGAAGTGAAAAAGCTCTATCACAATCACAGACCACAACCATTTACATGTTCTTTTAAACAAAGACCGTAATCTTACGGTATTTGTTTTAAACACAGTTCAATCTGAATCACATGTTAACGAAACACAGATAATACATAATTTTTAACTTGTAAGCATTTAAAAAATAACTGAAATAGTTTCATCAAATGCACTTGACAAAAATATTTAAATAATTCGGTAATTGCTATATTTGAATAAACCAGACGCATGCGTGGTGGAACATATGGAATAAAAGTTAAAAAACTTCTGCCAAAGACCGTATTATTATAAAAATAACTACCGTATAAAAATAACATATTACGGTCTTGGTATACGTTTACAAACTGCAAAAAGTGCTAATTGATTTTGGTTGTAGTCTTGGAAAATAAACTACTTGAACTGTACTTCGAGCAGAGAAATCCGACATACAAACATATCTAGGTATAGCTAGGTATAAATAAATTTCTTTAAATGTCATTAATCACGGGAGTACCCAAATGGACAAGTTGGGAGTCATATAATGAAGTATTTCGCTACAAAAAAAGCTAAAAAAAAAAAATAAAACAAATTATAATAAAGTAATGAATTTCAGCTATATATATTTATATTAGTGACTACAAAAAAAGTTAAAAAAAAGGGAATTCGGTTTTAATTGCTGGACATAACATGTCCAACTCATATCATGCCTTTGTCATCAATCTATCAGCGCTACCAATTATAGAAGGGGGAATTGGGATTTATTACAAAAACACCTTACTATGATAAAATACTACAACAAATATATCCTAATATATAGTTTATTCGAATATTATAATAAATTTAATAAAAAATCCTGAAGGCAAAGAATTGCTGTAAACCAAATTAAAAACTATGGGTATATATGCTATTTGCTGTAATATATACGTATGTATTGCAATATTTATTTTGATTATATCTGATATTGTAATCAATTTTTCTTAGATTTTATATTTTTTTATATAAATAAATCACCTCCGTTTTCAATGCAGTGGACTTAGGCACCTTAGAGAATCGCTGGAAACATCATGTCAATGTTACTTAATTTACTGTTATTAATCGAACAATATAATTGAAGGATTGTGTCGTTTATTGAAAGATTTTAGATATTTCTACTTACATCTAGAATTAAAATTAATGAAAGAGTAACATTATCTATCTCTATTAATTAACATAATATGAACCACCTCATTTACTAGTTTCCTGCCTTGTTATTGTTTGTTTGCAGATGTAGAGAACAATTCTTATGATAATGAATCTAATACACGGAACACGGAATTTTTCTATTAGAACTTAGTACTAATAATACACCAAAAAAAAAAAATATGTAATTGGTTTCCTATAGTAAAATAAGATTAGGCAAAGTAATACCCACCCTATACTACGATTTATTGATGTAATTGCAGTTAAAGAAATACCCTTAACTCATAAATGTATTATACTAGACTTTATTTATAATGATAATTAGATTAAAAGAATAATTCATTCAAAAGAATGTGGCTCCTTAGGTCACAGAGCAAGATCACATAAAGTTATTAAAAATGAAATATATTTATACTGAAGTTATTGTAAAAGTTAATCAAGGATCCAATACGGAATTAAGTGCAATTTTGAATTACAGCGTTGTTCATACACTGACTACTGCAATTCTTTTGAGGGTCTTTCTGGTCATCTAATCATCAGCATCCAAGAAGAGTCCCAATAGCTTCTTAGATCAAAGAGCAAGATCTCTGTGAAATTATTATTAAAATTAATCAAGGATCCAATAGGGAACAAAAATTTTGAATGTTACTTTAATCTTTCATACAGGATTCTGCAGTTCTTTTGACGGTCCTTCTAATCATCAGAATTCAAGAAGGGTTCCAATAGCTTCTTAGATTACAGAGCAAGATCTCCAAAACTTAATAACAATTAAAAATTATTATTAAAGTTAATCAAAGATTCAATAGGAAAGTGAAACTTTAAATGTCACTTTAATCTATCATATAGCGTTGCTCCTACACAGGCCACTGCAGTTCTTTCGGCGGTCATTCTGGTCGTCTTTGGTATTAAATAAGCCATTACTTGAGCTAAAGTTAGTTTTAGTGTATAATGCCACCACTCCAACCTAAATTAATCCTAACTGCAAACTGTATTACGTCTATTAAACAAATCGCTTTTGGTTTAACAGTCTGAATGAATGAAATATATTAATTCATGTGTGGTCTGGCTCTAACTTTATAGTTTTGAAATTATATGTAGTAGTAATTATAAAAATATATTTATTAGAAATGATTTTTTCGAAGAAAATAAGTAGGAACTGTTATAACGACATTTGACTTATCAAAACCAATGAAATTTAGTTAAATCGAAAATTTTCATGGATCAAATTCCGACTATTAATTGCCAGTAATTCCTATATCTCATACTTATTCAAATAAATATTAATATGTAACCATATCTTAATAAGTCCGACAGCTTTATTTAATATTTTATATATTTTATTTTATTGTATTATTTTGTGTTTTAATATGTAATTTACAACAATTAATTTAGTATTTTATATATACAAAAAATTTTATAGAATTTCTTAATAAGAAAAATTATGAGAGCGAAAAAAAAAAATAATTTTTATATTTTAAACAAAAAATTAAAAAATAAAAAAAAATTCATCTCCAAATAAAATAATTAAAAAAGATATTTTTATATTTATTGTTATTGATTTTAACATTTCACATATTATTTATTGTAAAAGAGAAATTATATTTTTTTATTCAAACTTCACTTTTGCATTTAAGCAAAATTCTAAATCTTAAATGTAAATTAATAATTATTTTCACAAGAGAGTTTCTTATCAATAAAGCACACAAATTTTATATTTTACATCAACTATTATTATTTTTAATTTTTCTTTTATTTTTAATATTAATTATTTTATTTATAGAAGAGTTACCAACATTCAAAATTTATTGAAACTAAGCTGTGAATGGAAAGAGTTTTGATTGGCTTAAATTTCTATAAGAAATGACATTCATAAATTTAACTAAATTTACATTATGCGTAATATTTACTTATTGCATTAATTATTTACAAATAATTATATTATTTTTATATTTAATTTGATTTTTTGAGAAATACAAAATCCTTTTTTATTGACTAAAAAACAGTAACACTTTACATTAACTAACTTAGTTGGTAATACTCGGGCGCAAAATCATTTGCGAGATTGCTCAGAAAATTGAAATCAGAAGAACTATTAGAATTCTCGAGACCCGTTAGATTTGTGCCTACACTTGCACTGGCATGATTAATGGGAAAAGCTTGTGCCGTAACCGGCGATCCATTTGCATTTGCGAATGCAACTCCATTGCCGCCGCCTGTCACATTGACATGTGTTGGATGTGAAGTACTCTGCGTTCCACCTGGCAAACTTATATTGTGTGGATGTATGTGCTGATGTTGATGCTGTGCTGGTATGTGATGGCTTTGTGCAACGTGTGTAGGAGGTGGAGGATGTCCTGGTTGGTGGTTGTTTTCATAATAACCATGAGCTCCCGGGAAGTAACCTTCTGAGCTCTCTATTTGCAAACCTAAAGCACTGGCATTGGGTGGTATGTAGGATTCGTTCATACCATGAGGAAAATGTTGTTGCTGCTGTTGTTGCGATTGTTGTTGATGTGGAAAATCATGTGAATGTTGTTGCTGTTGTTGGAAATTTATGTGATCGTATTCGTAGTAACCACCGGCCACAGCATCTAAAACAATTATGTATGTATATTATGTGTTAGTAAGATTTTATTATTATATTTAAATTTATTATTGTATTATATTAATTGGTTCGATATGAAATAAATATCGGAAGGAATATGACATCACTGGTGGGATCAGCTTTAGAAGAAATGCAAGAAGGAAGTGAACGTTACCGGTAATGAACGATTGAAAACGTATGTAAAATTTATACAATTTATATAATTTTATTTATGTATATTTTAGACACTGGTCTTTTTATTTTAGTTCATATAGATCGATTGTGTTTTTTAATTTTGCCAATAACTATGATTTATACATTAAGACTGAAAAGTTTTCGGAAATTCTCATTTAAAATTCGCGCGCTGTATATTTTTCGATATTTTAAGTTTATGTAGTTTGGCAGCACTGTCCTTAATTACTATGCCAAAAATGAGCGCGATCTGTCAGACAGTTCGTTTACGGCAGCTGTTGAAACCAGTTCACCTCAGTAGTGCGTTGCGAAATGTCTTCGACGGTCGTACGACCGTCCTGGAAGGCTTTGTACCACTCATAAACTTGAGTTTTCGATAAAACTGATTCCCCATAAGCCTTTTGTAGCATTCGCAACGATTCTGCACACGAAATTTCGTTCGAAACACAAAATTTGATGCAAACTCTTTGTTCAATATTTTTTTCCATTGTTTTTTTCGCAACGCCCTACTGAGGTGAACTGGTTTCAACAGCTGCCGTAAACGAACTGTCTGACAGATCGCGCTCATTTTTGGCATAGTAATTAAGGACAGTGCTGCCAAACTACATAAACTTAAAATATCGAAAAATATACAGCGCGCGAATTTTAAATGAGAATTTCCGAAAACTTTTCGGTCTTAATGTATATAATATTTATTAATACTCAAATCTTCAGTTGTTAAAACTGAAACAACTGAAATCTTCAGTTGTTATATCGTAGACGTATCGATGTGACATTAAAATTTAGTAGTCAATTATTTTGAAATACTTTTTTCACTACACTAAAATGCTTTATATTGATTTTACTACAATATTGACTGATGTCGTAGACGTATCGATGTGACATCAAAATTTAGTTGTCAGTTATTTTGAAATACTTTTTTCAATACACTTAAATGCTTTATATTGATTTTACTACAATATTGACTTAAGTTGTGCTTAAGTCATTAACTTTATAGTTTAAAATCATAATAATGTCAGTATTGAGACGACTGTCAATCTGTTCTAAATGTGTTAGACAATGCGGTAATAACTGCGTTAATTCTCCATATTATCCCAAAAAATCATTTTATTTTTATCGTTCTCCAACACTTATTCTATTTAATTCCAGAAACACTAGTATATGGAACTTAAGGTTGTGTTACTTACTATATTGCACCGGGCCACCTGGTGGTGTTTGTTCAGCGCCATGATAAAATGGTTCTGCGCCATGATTATAAAAGGTTTGTTGTTGTGCTTGCAAATGTTGCGCTGAGTGGTGATTATAATTTTGTCCATGATTTGAGTGGTGATAAGAAGAAGTCTTCGATTGAAATTCGTGGTGAAGTTTGATATTTTGCAGTTCGGTCTGTTGTTTAAGGTGTGCAGCCGCATTTTGAGAATTGCCAGCAATAAATTCACCTTTCGAATTCAAATACTCTCCACTTTGGAGAGCGTGCTGTTGCTGCTGTTGATGTTGTTGTAAATTGTTTTGTATTTGTTGTTGCATTTTGTGTGGCATTGTTTGAGGAGAAAATTCAATATCGTATTTGCCGTAGTATTCCTGTTGTGAATGCAATTGCTGTGGCGGAGGCGCGGGCGGTTGCAAATGCTGTTGTTTCTGATAGTAAGAAGTTGGGAAGTATGCAACGCTGCTGTCAGTCATTGCCGCTGCATTGGAATTGGAATTCTGATAACGCTTCTTATTAGAACCCGTGGAACTGTTACTCTGGTGATGGGAGGGTGTGATGCTTGGTATTGCAACTGGTGGTGATTCATAGGCGTTACCGAAAGGAGAGACTTTTGTGGAAGTAGAGACGGCTTCTTTCTTAATTATCTAAAGATAATAACAAATTTTGAAAATTCTTAATCAAGTTTTAGAGATCTACTCACATGACTATCATCTTTTTTCTTAACTTTTATTGGACTGTCTTCCATGTCATCGTCGAGGCTAATGCTGGATGCGACACTGGAATCAGCACTAATCACATTTGCGGTTGTCGTAGTTGTGCTGCCAAGTAGATTCGATGATATGCCCGATTCTAGTGTTGAGTTCGGTGTCACTGTAAATAGATTTTGATTAAGTCTCTTACTTTTTTTATATAAAATAAATATTATAAAACAAAAAATTTTTAAACTAATAAAATATTTCATTAAAAAAGTTGAAGTAGTTCAACTTGAAGTTAATTATTTTCTGAAATTTGATTTGAAACTTACAATTTCCAGCATTTTGATTCTTATTGGTTGCGCTGGGCGTATTATTGTTGTGCCCTCGAGAGTTCGACGTTGAGTCCGGTATATCGTCCGAAGGCAGTTCACACCCTTGACACGATTTCTTTGAATTGGAATCTGTTGCAGAGGCAATAAAGTAAAAGAAAATAAAAAATTATACAAAAAATCATTAAAAAAGTGCATCAAATATAAAGTTTCTTTGCTAACGCATTTCATAATAACGCATTTGCGAACGGCGGAAAAAAGATGCCACCGTGAAGATGACAAAGACATGTTGGATTGACAATGATTGATCGGCGTGTATTCTTCTATATGTAAACTTTTTCTACGCTTAACGCTAAAAGGTGGTAGGTAGGTGGTAAAAGTTATAAAAGTTACAACAAAAAAAACTAAAAAAAAAAAATGTTTAAGACAGAAGTAGAAAGTCCAACTGTTGTGAATTTCTTTGTTGCTATTAAGTCAACTTATTTTAATAACAATAACTTAAGTATCACTATTGTCTTTTACTACAAGTCAACAACTACATTTAGTTACATTTATAGATATTATATATTTATAAAATGTATGTATGTACATATATATTCCTACTTTAGGAAGAATATGATTACCTGATAAGCTGTTTTGCATTTGGTAAACACTCTTAGAATAAAAATCTGAACACTCTCTTACTCAAAAATCTGGTAAAAAAAATATTCTTAACCGGCTAAAATATTGAAAATCCCACACTAGAAAATTTATCTGTCATCAGAAGAATTGCGTACTTATTAAGAGATACTAAAGAGATTCAAAGCAAAATTTACTAATTTATCCCAGTAGAAAACATGTTATGTTCGCAGCATGTGATATAGATGGCGCCACTAAAGACAAATTCATATTCTATATCGAAAGTGGTAAAACTCAAAGGTTGTATATTCAAATTTTATAATAAATTGCCGTTTAGTAGACAAGTTACAATGGGTTTAGTCATTGTACTCATGTAATTTTTATTGAATTTCATCTGTTGATGGAGCATTGCTACTTAATGGAAAGAAGTTAAGATGTTAGTTTTGGTCTTGAAAAGCTTAGAAACCCTTTACACAGAATTTCTATAACTGAAGTACTAATTTGAACTAAAACAGACGGACTGATTGGGCAAAAATAACTTAACTTGTCGAGCTGACCAAGAATATAACTACTCTACTTCTGCTTTATCTGTTCTACGATATTTTCTTTTAATGCCTTGCAGAATTCTTGACGTTATATTATATTATATATTATATTATATATGACGTTATTTTTAAACTTGCTCTAAAAAACATCACAAAAATTAACAAAATCGCTTTAAATGATCATGAAGTGACATTCAGAGAGATTTTATACTTGAGATCATATTAAGAAGTGAAATATAATATATTATATATCAGAATAAAGTATATATATTACTTTTTGCATGAATATCTAGTGATAAAAGGTGTGTTTACAAAAACTAACGCGTATGATCGCAATGAGCTGAAAACAATACTATGCTGGTAATTATGATCGCTGAAACGACCATGATTCAATCCATAAATCAGACAATCAGTGATTTGCAAGAAATATAGTGGCCTGATGGTATATCAATAGAACCTACATAACGACGACTTGGAATCAAAAGATCTAAAGAAGACAAATATCATCCTGGACGAATAAGTTCAAAAACTAAATAAACAACTCTGCTTAGTATGTATGGGTGTGACGTAGAAGACATTTCGTAGAAGTTACCTTCCTAGCAATATTAATCGATACAGTGGAATAATTGTTATAAACAAAGCTAAAAGAATATTTAGAGAACTATTAACGTAAAACCTATGTTTATTTACTTGTGATTCCTCACAGTTAAATGTTTTTAGTGAGTCATAAAGATATGTTGGTTGGAACTATAGTAGTATCTTATAATGAGCTGTGGTTTCGAAATGGGTGAAAACGTTAAATAAATTAAATAAGGGGAAGGATATTGGTGATAAATTGTGCGTACATCGGGACAGTCATATAGTAATACATGCATTCAAGATTCTCAATTGAATCCGGAAAAAGTCTGAGTCAAATCTGTTATCTGTGAGAGTGGTTTAAAAATATTTTGGAAGCTGCATAGTCCTTTGTGAATATAGAAAATTAGTAGTAGTATTATCATATTCTAATACTTAGAAATCTATTATTATTTTGTGAAAAATCTAACTGTATCACAGGGCCTACCATTCAAGAGATTCTTAGACGTTATTTAAGGTTTCGAGTGGTTTAGGATATTTTGTCTTACTAACCTAATATTTCTTTAAAAGAATATCATAATATGAATTTTATTTATTTTATTAATGTATATAATATATGTAAAAATAACTTTATTGATATATGAATAATATCAATGATAATGAAAGGTTTATATTATAGGGTTTTCCACTTCCAAAAGTGATGGCACATCGAAAAAATAAATAAAAGTTAGTACTTGTAGATTAGATTATAATCAAGTTTTTACTTGTCTATATTGCTTGGAGCTTGCCATTATGTGTGAAATACATCAGTTAAATTTCTTATAGTATATGTACTATAGGATTTTTATAGTACTGGATCCCATTAGTAATTTAAGGTAACTTTTGACCACATAGCTGGCAAGCCATAACAAGACGGACTTTCGCTTTCAACACAGAATTACAAGGTTTTAAAATGTTTCATATACATACCTCCAGATGAGATATGACAGCATATACTAAATTTTTGAAATTGTAATGGTCTTTTGTCCGTGACTTTTGGATCAACACTTTCCCAGATGCAACAATTATATTGCAAAAAAAAATTGATGCAAAAAATATTTACCATTTTCAAACTTAATTTTCATATTTTAATATGTTTGACTTCTGTTAAACGATCTATATACAAAAGATCGTTTTGTAAAGTAAAAAGATGATACCTTGGATGATTATTTTGTATTGCATATACTATTGAAACAGTACTGTTAAATAAGGCCGACGAAATTTATCTCTTTATGAGAAAAGCATGATCATTTAATAGTTTTAAATTTATTCATGACTTATTAGACCTCTTGCTAATATGATAATTCCTCTAGACTGAAACGGAATGATAGACAAGGCATCCTGCCATCCTGCTTTCCTAAAGATTGCTAATATGATAAATGTCTCTAGACTGAAACGGAATAATAGACAAGGCATCCTTCTCTCCTAAAGATTATCCTGTTTAATTCAACTTATGAAGCGTGATATCTGGTAAATAAGCCCTGGCTATTCATTCAGAGGCCCGTTAAACTAATTTACAATTCATTTTATAATTCATTGTAGTATGTATATATAAAATAATTTGATATGTAATGTTATTAGTTTTTAAGATTGTAAAACTTATTGTTTGGCTTTAAATAAAAGCGATGCAATAAAGACATATTCTTGAATAATAATAAGACATATTCCGCTTAAAAATAAGTAATCAAACGAAAAAGCTCATATATTTCCTAATAAGATATATTACAATACATATCTAATGGACTGAAATCACTCTTTTGAAATGCTGAAGTATAAATTGCAATCATTTGTAATCATAAAATATTTCAGAAGCGCACTAATTTTTCCCGTCTCTACTATTTAGAGAGAAATTTATTTAAATAAAATATGATGAATGAATATATATAAAATAATTAAAATTGTTGTACACTTACTACTGTCGGACTGATCATCATCACCTTTTAGACTGTCTTTATTGTCTTCATCGTCGGTTTTGGAAAGAGTTTGGCGTTTGTGTTTCATGCGACGATTCTGAAACCAAACCTTCACCTGTAAGTTTAGAAGAAGAAGAAAAAATAATAATATGGATGAGTTCAGTAAAAAATCTCAATTTCTCAAAAGGTAAAATCACTTAAAGGCCAAGCAAAAGTAAGAAACTGTAATTAAAATTAAGTATTCAGTTTGCCGACGCTTGCAAACTGCAATTTGTCAGAGGAATGTACGAGTAATTTCAAGTGTCAGTGAGTGTATCTGTGTCTGCGTGTTCGTGTATGTGTGTATCTGTGTTTAAGTGTGTAAGTGTATGTGTCAGTTTGAATTGAAATAAAAGCAGATAAATTTATATTAAAAAACTGCAATAAATGATATAAGCGGAAGATACACAAGCAAACCCACCTGTCGTTCTGTCAGATCCAAGCTGGCTGCTATTTCAATCCTTCTTGGGCGGCATAAATATTTATTAAAATGGAATTCCTTCTCGAGTTCCAGCAGTTGAGTGTTTGTATACGCGGTGCGCAGACGACGAGGCAGGCCATTTTCTGGAACGAATTCAGCTGCAATTGAAAATTGCATTTCCTTGATACTTGAGTAAATGCGATTTTGAACATTACGAACAACACCACCGGCAGGTCGCAATCTCTTCGATGGCTGCCCTACCGAGGTGAGTGTGTGTGTGTGTTGTACTAAAATATTGCATTCATTTCCACTGACTTTTATTTATTTATCGTATTTCATTTAATTTTATTTGACTTAAATAGATTTTTTCTTTATTTTATTTTTATGTTAACGAAATAAATAAAAAAATGTGTCACTATAATGTTTTATTTTATTTTATTTTAATTTATCTCTTCGTTTTTGTTATTTTTTTTATTTTAATTTGTTTTTTTAAGATAAAAAGCTTTTTCATTTATGTAATTTTTGAAGTTGTAACCCATCCATCAGCACGTCACTAAGCATAACTAATTTCATCTGATTTCAGCATTTCAAGTCGAAAGGAAATCTAAATTTCACATTTGTACTTGTAGCGAAAATTTTCCCCCTGTAAAGATTCTTCTGCGATACGCTCTCGATGCAGCTGATGACGTAGAGAAACTGTCTTTCAGCTCATAGTTGTTCACAGTGAGTAAATATCGCAAGATGCTTAAGCGCTAAGTAATTAACAAAACACTAATCAATCAAAAGAGTCGTCGTCAAAAGCGAGTACCTACAGCATTTCTACAGGCCGATTTCTGCCTACTTTTTTTACTCCCAATATTTTGTACGACTTCCGAGGTAAGAAAAAACAATTGTATCTGACATTGAGAAGAAACCAAATTCAAATTCAAATCATTCTGTGTCAAATATGGAGAGGACATAAAATTAATTAAGCTTAGGAAGTGTTTCAAATTTGTTTTAAATTTTTTTTAAACAAAATATTTAATTTCATTAACAAACAATAATTATTAGGACTGAAATTTGTTATGGAGGAAAATGTTCAATCAATGCCTTCTGAACTGCATTAATTTCTTCATACTTATGATTCCAAAGCAACTTTCAAGCAAGCAAGCAAATTTCCATCAAGCAATGAGTAGAATAGCTATTGAGCTTATGTTAATAGAGGCACCGGTTTAGAGATCAGTAAGAGAAGTAGTTATCTCCATTTAGTTTAGCTTGCAATTAATAAATAAAAGACACTTAGATGATGTGTATCTTCCCAGTTAGCCTGGTCTTCATGCAACAAGACCAGAACTTTTGAAATCATTATCTTTCCATTCATTTATTTCTTTATTACTAAATCTTTCAAGGGGCACCGTGAATCCTGAGGGCTAACTTATTCTAATTGTTACTCTTATTCTAAAATCCATAGGGCAGCTGATGACCTGGCTTAGTGATGACCTAGCTTAGTGATGACCTGGCTATGATTCGTAGGCATACAGTTAAAAAGGAAATATTGGAGGTGATATACTAATGAGGCGATAAGTACAGAAAAGAATTGCAAAGATTCATTTTAAGGAGTTGCCATAGTCCAGTAATCCAATAGAAGGAATAGAAAGTAGAACTTAGAATACTATATTTTTAATACTTTTCGTTACTTAGTTTCAGTAACTTGTTACTGATATTTTCAAATTTGTTCTATATCTTCATTCATCACCTTTTATTGATATAACTTTTGTATATAACTACATTAATGTATGTGGGTCTTTGAATTATTGTGGTCATTTAATTTATAATTTTAACAATTGTTAACAAAAAACAGATATAATAAAATTTTTAAAATGACGTTCTCTGTCCTATAATAAGCACATGCTTTAAAGAATATTTTCTTTATTATGTGAATAAAATTTCTTATCACAGTAAAGTAAATAAAATTGAAAGCATAGTAAAATAAATTCGCAGAATTTACACATCAATGAGCATAAATGTAATCTCGGCAATAGCAAATGCTCGACAGACAGAAACACTGATTGAATAACAGGTTAAAAGTGTTCCTTCATCAATAGAACGGATGCCATAAACACCACCTGGAAAACAGAACTTATAAGTGATGCTGCAACTGCCACACCGTAGCGGTGATAGCGTGGGATCAGAGGTAGAAACGGTAGCATAAATTTTGCATAAAATTTGCAACCGAAAATGTTTACGACCGAAACCACCTCCAATGTCAACGACAACGACAACGACAACGACAACGACAGCGCCAACGCCAATGCCAACATCAAAACCGAATCCATAGCCGACACTCAACCAAAACCAAAGTGAATGCGAATTGCAAAACTAAAACTGCAAAGCAAAACTGTAAAGCAAAGTGTATAGAAGCAGAAAATATGATTTCCTTTTTGGAAATGAGCAAAAAGATAATTTTCTAACGTGAAAGCAATGAGAAGAAAAACCTCTACACCCACATACACTCTATATAGTCCATACACTCCATAGAGTAGTCATACATTGCTTACTTGGATCAATTGGATTCTGTTGGAAATGCTGGTAACAGTGACAAGGAGCAGTTCGAATACACTTTCCGCATGATAGTAAAAGATTTGGAAAATGTAAGCGAGTACTTGCACACAGATTGTCTGGTCAGTACTGGTGGATAAGTTGGCTCTGTTGTTGTTTGTGGTAATGCGCTTTGGTAGAATGCGACTACTATTCTGTTAGTTGAGAAAATTACAAAATGGATTTTGTTTGTCAATGCGAGCATTCGAAATGTCATCACGGAAGAGCAGCCGGAAGATGCAAAGTGAAACTTATCGCAACTTTCTAATATTCCTCTTTCAGGCACATACATCCGTTCGACTGTATTGAATTGCAGTGAAAGAAATATTTATCTGCAAAAGATACAAAATACAAGTTGACAGCAAACTATACTTGTATCGAAATACCAAAAATTTATAGTGAACTGAAGTTTCCGATATGCATTTGGGGTTAATTGACTTAATAACAACCCTAGAAAAGCATTACGCAAGCATGGAGCTTGGAATAAATATTTCGAAAACAATAAATACCAAAGCTACCGAAAGAGTTACAATCTAATTTTGTACGGAATTATGGATACTTATTAACGCATTAAACGACATAATTTACTTGTTAACACTTAAAAACACCCGTGAACACAAACCAGTGCTGACCCATACAGACGGTGACGGTAAGGACTTTTCGTTTTTTTGTGCCTTGAAGTGGGCACTTTAATTTATGTGCGCTCTTCCTGGGCCTCGACTACACTTATAGACTCAACCTAAACGAAAGCGATGCTCTTGTGCTCTTTCCAGAATAAAAATTAAATAAAGCGTAAATTTTGCAACAAATGCAAATTTTTTATATAAATAATTTTAAATTATATTTTAAATTCAAAAATTCGCATCTCATAAGCAGCAGCAGAGTGGATACTCTTCCCATGGCACTATAGTAGTCCAAACGCTTACTCGTACATCTACAAACATAAGTACCCACTCTAATAGCTGTTGCTTGAGCAGATCTTGCAACAAAATTTTCGTTAATAGCCCAAGTAACTGATGCCACTGGAATCTGTGAGGCCACAAGAGCACACAGCACACAGCAGTTTTGGTGTTGGAGAAAGGACGACTTGCCACATTAAGGACATGTGCTGATGTTGCGTTCGGTTGTTAGGCGGTCGACCAACGGACATAGAGTGGACATCTTGGCATTAAACAGTGTCAAACTAGTCAGTGAACAATTCACAGACGCACACACCTTTGTCATGGAAATGACCTCAATTTATCTTCCGAAACGTTGGGTTCCATTTACTTTGGTTTTAATTTGAGTTACGTTTCAAGTTGTGGTTAAACTCTGCAATTTAAACGTCGTTTCTGTTAAGTTTGTGGGAATAAGTGGCGAATTTAAACAAATTCCTTGTGTAAAATAAATATTTAGAATTAAAAACTTCATATTTAAATGTTATTAATTAAAATTTTTGTGGTTTTCTTTTAATAGCGAATTTATTAAAAATTTTGGTTATAAAAGTAATGCGAATTTGGTGGTGAAGATCTGACCTTGCTAGGTATTAGTTTGCAAATCGCAGTTTAGATGTGGGGAAGAAATATTTTGGTTTGTATTGATCACCATTGGAATTATGACATCAACATAAACGTTAGTCATTATACTATTATTATCTTTAAATGCTATTAATTTGCAATACAAACAAAATATATTTGGAGTGTAGTTATTTTTTTAAAAAATATGATAAAAATAATTTTAAAATAAATAATTTTAAAAATTCTTTTAAATGACACTTCTTATGGATCGACGATAAGAACACCCAACAATTAAAGGACGGAGACCCTTCAAAAGACTTTAAAGCCTGGATTGACGGCAAACAAGATTCTGTTTAGTGTGTGGTGGGATTAAAAGGGAATTATCTGCTACGAGCTGCTTTCGCCTAGTGCACCGTTCAATTCACACCACTACTGCTCACAACTCGAAGCTTAAGCGAAACAATCAAGGAAACGCAGCCAGAATTGGTCATAGAAAAGAAGTTGTGTTCTATTATGACACTTCCGGAACACAAACATCTTTGAAGACTCGAATTCTATTGACAGAATTTAGTTAGAGAAATTTGGTTAGATCCACAACTAAGAAATCTTAGCTATGTTAACATATAGCACAGTGGTAAAATATCAGTCTCTACTAAAATGAGTTTTCTAATAGACGTGCTCGAGATATCGTAATTGTGTGAGGTCACTATATCCAAAACTAATGTCTAGGTACAATGTCTGAACATAGCATATTCATCTATATTTGATTATATATGCAATATAATTTTTTTAAGGAATAAAATTTAATATTTTAATATGTCTTTATTTAAAAAATATTTTATAAAGAAATAAAGAAACGATATTTATCTTTATAACATATATCTATATTCTACTACAATGCTTTATATTTTTAACGTTTTCTTTCTCTATAGTAAGTGATTGCATTCATTGTGAGAGTATTTGCTTTAATTTAACATAAATTCAATTTATTTAATTTTTATTTTATTTGCTTGTGGAATAAATTAGATTATTCCTGTCATTATTTCGCGAAACGATTGATCAAAATATTAAAATCAATTTAAAAA